CATTTTGCGATGCGGTTGGGCATTATTCCGACTCTTGTTATGTAGTGAGAGGAAAGAAGACTCCTTGTTGAGCGAAGAAGGAGATGAACTTGTGCCTAGAATTTTGCCCTGGAGGTACAGAATGTAGAAAATGGTGTACACGATGCCACCACTGCCGTAAGCATGGACATCATTCGCCGTTGTGAGGGCTACCGGAGAGAATTGAAGAGTTCTTGAACAACTCATTCGATTCCATTCGCCGGTCGAGAGTGGTTGGTGCTACTTCGAGCACTGAGTTTCCTAATCACTGCGGTATTTGCTACATTATTTTGCTTTCACCACTTTGGTAAGTATTCTTTAGTGATACAAAATGTCTCGAGTTAGCGGTAAGAAAGGACACAATGTGATAAATGTGACCTCTTCTTCTGATGCTGCCGATTCAGGCGTTACTGCTGCTCCTAACATCACTGATTACAGCAATATGTCATAAACGATCTTCTCAAGGGCATCATCGAACTGAATAAAGACCCTACAATAGCACATATGCTTGCTGCACTGGCTGACAAAATCCCTAAAGAATTTGCTGAATGTGTCGAGGAAGAAAAACGCTCGAGGAGTATAGTATGGATGAAGGAATCTGACGGTATTATGCCACCATCAAAAGGTCAGAAAGAGCTTGAAGAAAAGGTCTGCAACGTTCTAGATGCACTTGATGTGGAGTGCCGACCATCAGAAATTTTTCGAATTGTTAAAGTTGATCCATCCAAGCCTCGTTAGGTAGAAGTAGTGCTTCCATCCTTGTCCACTGGCGCAAAGCTATAGCCAATTCCCGATATCTTCGTCAAGCTGGCTTCACCGATATATTTGTGCGGAAAAGTATGACTTTTGAAGAGAGGCGGAAAGAATATGAGTTGGAGAAAAGGCTAGGGAAAAATAATGGGAAAGTAAAGGAGGAGTGGGTGGTTCATCGGGGCAAGCTCAAGCATGTATCTGAACTCCAAAGAGACATTCGGGAAACGTTTAGAAGCGCACGGTGGATGCGTCCCACTCTCTTGTTTTTTGGTTAATTTAGCCTAGTTAATAAAATTGCTCAGTTCCATTTCTTCATAGCTTTCAATAAACCTGACATAGTAATTATAACTGAATCATGGCTTAACCCAAATGTAAAGGACTCTGAACTCGTTGCAAATTTTCCGTACTCAATACACCGCTTAGATCGTACCACTAGTAGAGGCGGTGGTGTTTGCTGCTTCTTCAAAAACACGCTACACTTGCAAATGCAACCGCACGAAGCCACTTCGAAGGCAGATATTCTTAGCATGGAGATAATGTGTTTGGCTGCTAAAAGTCGTATCAGATTCGCGATAGTTTATCGACCACCAATTCTAACAAGGATGATGATGAGAATTTAATTGAGCATCTGACCACGCTAGTCTCATCTGGAAGACAAAATGATAATCCTAGGTGATTTCAATATTAATTATCGATTGGAATAGACTTGTTGCGCTCAATTCAAGTTCCAATGAGTTCCTTGACGTTTTTTTTAACTAAGGTTAAGCAACTACTGATGGGGATAACACACTCGATATCATCCTTACAACCTCCCCTCTTGTGCACAATATTACTGTCCGTCCCCCCTTATCTACATCTGATCACTCAACTATACACTTTCTTGTGGATGTCGCTTGTCCGGTAGCTTCTTCGATCCCGCTGCCTGATTTTCTGTACGTAAACTATGCCTTGCTGAACCAAAGGTTCGATGAAATCGACTGTTGAAGGAATTCGATCAGTACACTTCCACATCCGAACTATGCCGCAGATTTTGCTCAATAGTTTACAGAATATTTGGATCTTTTGTTCGACTGAGACACCAGCGATCAGCACTATTAAGTTTTCCTAGTCATATCCAAAACCTTTTTTCTCAGAAGCAGCGCGTCTTTTATAGCTCAGAAGAACCCACTAAATGATTCTTGCTACACAAACCCACCAAATGATTCTTATTACAAAAAAGATAGTGAGAAGATAGTGGTAGTGCTCTGATATAGATAATCACTTGAAGAAGTTTTGGGCGAACTATGAGCCACGATTACCGTCACACTCTTCAATGAAATATCTCCATGTTTATCTTCGAAATAATATGAAATTCTCTGGGCGTCCTTCTGTATTAACCGACAACAATGGGTATAAGTGCTATAATGATATTGACAAGGCTAAGGCGTTGGGAGATTATTTTGCTAGCGTTTTTTCTCCGGAAAATCCAAGCAACGAGTCAATGCTTCGCAGCTTTAGTTGCACGAAACAGGTCTGAGTGATATCTACTTTCGTCCTTATGATATTTATAGGGTACTAAAACATCTTAAACCCTCCAATACAGAACCGTACGATGGATTCCTCCTATCGTTTTTAAGAAGTGTGTCTCGTCCCTCTCAACACTCCTCTGGCTCACACATTTAATATCTCTTTTCTCTTGGCTGAAGTACCGGACCTGTGGAAAGAAGCACTACATGTACAGTTACATGTATCCCCAAAGCTCCAGGTGCACAATCGCTGTCTGAATTTCGTCCAATAAGTCTAACTTCAACTCCGATCAAAGCAATGGAAAAAATCGTCAGAGAAATAAGATGTTGCGTTTCAACTGCAACAAACCTAGTTGATACCCTATTTGACTGGAACATAGCAATTCATCAGAGAAAATCAATCGATGTTATTCACTATCTCACTTCACTATCGACTTATCTAAAGCCTTCGATAAAGTTGACCACACTACAACTGCTAACCTAAGAATAGAGCGTCTCGGGATATGCGGCAAACTACTAGCTTGGCTTACTTCTTATCTCAAAAACCGATATATGACTGTCAGAGTTGGCTTAGGTTATTCAAGCAAGTATAAGTGCATAGCGGGGTGCCATAAGGAATAGTGCTTTCTCCTCTTTCATTTTTAATATACAAACTAGACCTACAGAAGCCATCAAACTGTCTCAAAACGTCAAATTACAAATTTATGCAGATGACATCAAGCTATGGGATGTACAATGATGACTATAGCGATGATGTATTTAAAATTCTGAAAACTTCTTTCCAGTATTTGAATGATTGGGATTGCTAAATGCTAAATGCTGGAATTTGACAGTTAATTCCAATACAACATCTGTGCTGCGTATAGGCGAGGGAACTGCTAAGGAGTACAGCGTCAACGGCCGGGGGGATACCACTGAGATCTGTCAGCAGCGTTGACAATCAGAGACCTTCTATTCACTCCCGACCTCAGAATTCCCGCCCACATTGATCATGCTCTCAAAAAAGCTTACGGTTCTCTTTTTACAAGAATCCGTACCATACACAGTGGTAACTCGATAATCTTAACTCGTCTTTATAAGGGTTACGTATTGCCTTATCTGGATTACTGCCCGCAAGTCTGGAGCCCCTCCCTCAAGAAACAGACTCACAAAGTCGAGAAAATTCAGCATACGTTCACAAGAGTTTTTCATAGAATGAAGAATAGCGTAGGTTGGCAAAATATGCCCAGCTATAACGATCGCGTTCGGCAATTAGGTCTAACGACATTATTGCATAGGAGAATTGTTTCGGATGGACAAAGAAGTTTCTCAAAACGGCAATGCCACCAAAAAGTGCAGCCGCCCCACGTTCCAATAAATTACACACAGTTACGCTTTCCAGGATATGCATTCGGCTACTTAAAGGCAGTTGGCACGATGGTTTCCTACTTAGCCTAAAATGCTAGTAGGGCGCTGTATAGTGGGGAAATGGCGAAAGAACGGAGTGAAACGGTCAAAATCCTGCGAAGAAAAAGCCTCCGTTCTCAGTGACTTGAAAATCGATTTCGGACGAGTTTCCCGTAGGCATCTTGCCAATCACCGCTACCGAAGATACGGCTGCATATGTGTACCCATATATGCATGCAGCATCACGGCCGCTTCATACCAATCCCTTCGCTTCATAATTTGCTTAGCAAATGAATGAATACGAGCGTCAGGAACGGTCGTCCATTTGTGGGCGGGCGGGCGTGGCGGGCGTTTGGGACGTAAAGTTGTGGCTTGATAGGGCCCTTATAAGGGCACCTTCGCTATGCAGCGCCTGCCCAGGGTCGCGGAATTCTATCCTGCCAGGAGTATTGATCCTAGTCGTCTTGAAGGATTTATCGTCTACTGCCTTTAATTCGAAAAACGACAAAGGGGGAATTTGCTCGCGAACTTTTTTTCTGCGGCGTAAATTTTCTTGTTTAGAAAACTCTAAGCGATAACTGTGATGCGAAAATATCCTAGACGCAGCGGCCGCGGCTTTTGTCTTTTTTGAATACCCTAATCTTCTATTAGGTGATCATAGAGTTTCTCACAAATTAGTTGGCATTTTGCCACATTTTTGAAAAATGTCCTAGAAGATTCAATCGATAACATGTGTATAGGCTGTGCTATGGCCCACACAAACTAATGTCATGATGTTGCGCCACGACTAGGGCAGAGGAGATCGTTCCTGACTGCTAGCAAACTCGACTGCTTTTGCTTTACGAGCTCAGAAAGCTTGCTGATGCAAGAGTTGGGTAAATAACGTATGTGATGCGATAGTACCTTCGACACAGCCGAACGGTGGTTACGTAATGGCTCGCAAACGGAGCTTTGACTTGGCCTGGAAGGCCAGTCACAGCAAGGAGGGACGTTGAAGAAGATCCTGGCGAAGCATCCGTAAGCTTGCGGAGGGGCTCGGGGTGACCTCCCCTAGCTGGTCACTCACGTGGGCTTGCAGGAAAATATGGGACACGGTGGACAGTTATGGAAAATTGCGGATTGCTCTCAGCGTCACTTAGCTTCGCTGTCGCGGTGATCGGTATGAGAAACTTTTCCGTTGGACTAGTCCTTCGCGGGAAAATTTTCCAGCTCGACGACGATAGTATACTGACGACCGACGGAGAGAGAATAGTCTAAACACATGCGAAAGCGTTGGTGCCTCAGTGGGTTACAGGGCTGTGTCAACCGGGCATGCTCTCTCTGCGAGGTGCCAGAAGTATTTTTCTCATGGGGGACCAACGGTCCTGGCAGCTTGAATAGGAGAAGGCAAAGCAGGAGGGATGAGGAAGGAAGGAAAAGAAGGGGGAAGGGAGAAAAAAGGAAAGAGGAGGGAGACCTCGCGGTTGACAAGTGTCCTGAGACGGCCTAAGTCATGGCAAGTCAGAGATCATCCCACGCTAAAAGAGCTCCATCCAATGAAGATAATGCTCAGTGTCTGGAATAACTTTGGTGGGCTACACAGTTAAGGAGACCTCAGAACTGCCACTCATGAGGGGCCACTTATGAGGGGCCTTCAATACTTACTGAGAAGCTGCGGAAGTGAGACACTCTTGGATACTGCGGAATAGACTATTTGAACAAAGAAGGACGCCTGCGAAGATCAAGGCTGGTTGGTTGAGCGCAGGGACTCTCCTTAGTAACTTTTCCTCAAAGTCCAGGTCCTGCCTGATTGTGGGATAAAATGTTCTGCGTGAACTCAGCATTCTTCTCAAAACTTTCGCATCGCAAACCCTCACGAGAAGCGGTAGTTATCTTAAGGCTGCTTTCATATTTGTGGCAGTGTCCACCAGCGAATTAGGATTTCGAGCGTGCGTCAGCGTCAGCGATAGGAAAAGTATTGATAACGGTCTAACGAACGGCTGACAAGGGAGGTTCAGGTCGTGGTGAGCTTTTTCAAAACGGTTTGTTGCATGTTGTAGGGGTCCATGCAAGGACCACAGCGATGGGGTTCATTTTTGCTAAACGGTACTGGGAATGTCAAAAAAGGTCGAAAATAATTCGAAAAGAATGGGCTTTTAAACCACCTTATTCGCCTCTGTTCTAGCTGTAGCGTTGACAGTGTATAGTATGTGAAGGTGTTCTTTAAGCAGGCATGAAAACAACGCAAAATAAGGTCAAAATCCAAGTACTTTACTTGGCATGTGGTGAGCTACATTGGAGTTTCCTGGTCATCTGCGCGTGTCTCTTCACTAGGTCCAGCATCGCTTCGTTGGTGGTGTGGTGGATAGCGCGACAGACTCACAATCAACGAATTTGTGGATAGGATCCTGTAACGACAGAATTTTGCGTTTTTCGGATTTTATTTATTTATTTATTTATTCAAATACACCAGAAGGTGCGCCGCATAGTTACAAAGAACAAACTCATTGCACAGGAACACAGTTAGAAGGAAGGAAAACAAATAATATAAAAGAAATAAATCTAATCTATGAATATAAAAGAATAAAGATAACAGAGTGACCGAAATTCGGGTAGCGTGACGTGGTAGTGGGAATGAGATATGAAACTTTCATTGTGCCAGGTGGATAACGTTGTTTTCCCCATCCAGCAGATGAAAAAGTCCCCTCACGAGATCCTGGTCCTTGGTTCTGAACGCAAAAATACAAGACGGCACTCTACTGGGCTTGCTGACATACTCTATAACGCAGCAGTTTTGCGTCCGCAAATTGCCGCGGAACGGATTCATTAGGCCGCAGAAGAATGTGTAAGTATCTGATTAGCGGAGAAAGCCAGCAGAAAAGCAGTCGAAATGTGTATAGAGGAAAGATAATACATAGTGGCTACTAAGCTTAAGCTAAGCAGCCGGTGAGGGTCGGCATGGGCCTAAGGGGTGTCCATGGGCCTAATTAGTCAGCTTCTAGCGGAGTTCTTGCCGTGTTTCACTTTTTGGAAGTAGCGCAGCCTCAAAGGTCATGCTTCGAGGATTGGTTCGCACATTTTGAGATTCATAGCCGTTATTTTATCGACGGATAGTGCCTTAACCCGTTACGAACGAATTCGTCCGGGACCCCAGGCGAACGAACAAGGGGGACCTCAAGCGAGAGGGTTCATCACCCTTCAAGCTCATCAAACAACTAACCAGCACAACTCAAGCAAGATCGTCCACGGATACTTATGTTTAAATTTCAACAACATTTCTAAGCATATACTTCACGACAGTCGAAATTATTTCACTAGAGGCTCTCGGTCAAGAGAAGATGAATAACAGGAAGATCAGACCAAGAATAAATTCAACCTCTCTCAGAAAACAGAAGATGTGATAATATCAAGATAGTGGACAAATGCGCCCGAGAGTCCACTGCCTGACACCAGATATTTGGTGATGAGATGTACAGTGATGATGTGCAGTGCCTAACAAGATACGGATTGAACTGAAAATAAAAAGAGTGAGACGCTCAAAGATACTCTGGTACTTTCAGGATGTGCAAGAGGTCCAACTTTAATAGCCTACGTTTGAATGTCTTACTATCAGGCGACTGGAGTACCTGGGCCGGCAAAAGCTCAAACCACCTTGCACATCGGTAGAAGACATTATTGAAAGTTAACGAAAAGTTTTTGGAAAGAATCGGGGCATAGTGAAGGTTGAACCCACCCAGCCTCTCACTTGTTGGCCTGAAAATCCAATACTTACTCGCTGATAACTTTACCTCTTTTCGAAGCACTCGAAAACAGAACACTAAATCAGCCACGATCCTTCGATATTGCAAAGAATGCAGGGAAAAAGCTCTCAGGCGGCTGCTATAAGTAGGGATATCACTACGAGCTATACAGGATGTGGATCGATACCAAAGAAGACGTGTAAACAAATGTTGAACTCTTTCAATTTTAACTATGTCTTTCTTGAGAGAAGGACACCACACTTGCGAGCAATACTCTAAGTGTGGCAAAACATACGCTTTATAAAGGCGCAGAAGTATGAACGGATCTGAATTATGAACATTCCTTATTATCGTAAATAAGACGGAATACGCTTTCTTCACCACATGATCGATGTGGTTGGAGAACTTCAAGCTTGATTCGAAAAGAACTCCTAGATCCTTCACAGAATCACATCTTGGGAGCATGACACCATTAACTATGTAATCAGGGGATGCGCCCTTCCCTATATGCATGACTAAGCACTTGTTCAGGTTTAGAGGAATATCCCAAAGACTCGCCCATTCGCACATTCGCCCCACAGACTGTTTGAGCGCTTGCCGCATTTCTCGACTATTCTCATTGTCATACACCACATACAGTTTGATGTCGTCAGCATAGATACGCACCT